GTGTGTGTGTGTGTGTGTGTGTGTGTGTGTGTGTGTGTGTGTGTGTGTGTGTGTGTGTGTGTGTGTGTGTGTGTGTGTGTGTGTGTGTGTGTGTGTGTGTGTGTGTGTGTGTGTGTGTGTGTGTGTGTGTGTGTGTGTGTGTGGGTTGTGTGTGTGTGTGTGTGTGTGTGTGTGTGTGTGTGTGTGTGTGTGTGTGTGTGTGTGTGTGTGTGTGTGTGTGTGTGTGTGTGTGTGTGTGTGTGTGTGTGTGTGTGTGTGTGTGTGTGTGTGTGTGTGTGTGTGTGTGTGTGTGTCTGTGTGTGTGTCTGTGTGTGTGTGTGGTACTTCCCAGAGGAAAATAGTTTGTATACTGCCAGTTCTTTCTGCCCCCAATCGAGTGAACCTTCAAAATTGAACGTCAAATAATTTCGACGAGGGTGGCCGGGTGGCATCCCCTCCCTCTTTTCAGCAAGCCCTGGGGCCTTCCGCACTCTCCAGCAATGGCTGGCCGTTCTGGAGGTAGCCCAGGCCTGCTAGACATTCGCACGCCCCGGGCTACTCGTTGTTCAGAGAAAAATTGGCCGGAAGTCCAATCCAAACTGTTCGTGTGCCTGAATGGGCTGACAACTTCCTGGCAACGAACATCCAGGTACAGCCCGCCCCAAAAAAGGAAGTACCAACTCCAAAGACACTGAGCTGTTCCCCTTGGATCCCTGGCTAAAGTCGGAAATGTTTAGTGGTTTAGTGGAAACTACCACACCAAAAAAAATGCAAAATGTAAGGAACCGGATGGATGGGAAACACCCAGCAAAATGGTCATCTAAAGGTACAAAGTCCGAGAACGCAGGGAGTGAGCCAAACCCGCCAAAACCGGCTTGCTTCTGGAGGCATGTTAACATCGAAAGGCAAGTTGGCGACATTTCAGCCAAGATGGTGGATGTTCATTATTCGGTGGAGATACGAACCCCTTCAAACCAGCCGTCCAAGTTGTCTTGAAACAAAGGCAAAATCTATGTGCCCCGCCACCCCAAATTGGTGGCTTTCCTTCTGGCTGTCCTTTAAACCCACCCAAAAACAGGTGCCCCTTAAAACAAACACACCCAAATGTGACCCACTGGCATGAACTCCTAGTTTACTGGTTGGTTCACTGATGGTTGTGGCTTAATTGTGGCTTCCGCCTGTCGCTTGCCGGCGCGCGTTCGAATGATTCCCCATCGTTTCCCGTCCAGACAGGCCAAAAAAATGGCATCATACCCACTGACCGCAATGTTAACTTAAAACAACTCAACCGGAGGACCCTGCCATAACCCCCCCCCCCAAAAAAAAAAAAAAGAGAAAAGAAAATGGGTTCCTAAGGAGAACTCGTCAGAGGAGCCCCCCTGAAACAGATATAATTTCCAAATCCGGACAAATCCGAAGTTGACATGTGGCTGGGTTGTCATCCACCAACCCGACTCAAGAAGCCGAACCCCAAGAAGCCTGATATTCCTGAGCTGAACTTAGTTTATTTTACCCCCCCCCATCTGAAATCCCCAAATGATTGCAAAGGTGTGTGGGCATCTGCCAAAATATGATTTGGACCCCAAAAATGGTGGCTTGCCTCTCGGTTTCCCAGTCAACCTGACAAGGGGTGCCCTCAGAAAACACACACCCATGCGGGTTTGTCTTAAAATTACGGAACCCCCAAAAAAGTTGGTTTTCTTTTTGGCCTAGAGATAAAAGGAGGCACTCAGCTTTCCCTCCATGCAAGCTGTTGCTCATCAGGCAGCAGCTTTCTCGCTGGCGCATGCTTTGTGAATCCAAGTTCACCGCCTTGTAAAGCACCAGTGCCACTGCTTCATCGTACAGCAGTCTATGCCCAAGACAGCAGGCCGCTGGACATATCTTGGCCTCCAAGCCAAACGCAAAGCCACCGAGCACGATGTAAGAGATGCACATCTCTGCGGCATGGAAGCTTTCAGTTGAAACAAGCAAAAAGGGGGGGTCGCTAAAAAAAAGGGAAGACACGGCCATAGAGGTCCCAAAGCCCTGGATCTCTTTTGTCGCAGTTGGTTCAGAGAAGCTCCCCTGCTGCTGGCCACATCTGCACGGGAACTAAACATGGACGACGCCTCCAATAGCTCTCAAAAGGTTGCAACTGAGTTCCGGTCCACCAAAAGGTCGCCTTTTCTGGGCTGTCCTCAGATCCCTGCTAAAAGTTTAACTTTTGGTGGGTGAAAAATGGAAAATTCCCCGACCAAGCCAACTAAATACCACTAAAAACCAAAGGAACCAGACGGCTGGGCACTGAGAAGGGTCACTGGTGTCCCCACCCACATCCAAAGTTGATCGAATTCCTGGGAGGGTGCAATGAAACACAACGGTCACTTTTGAGTCGACTGGCCACTTGGGCCCTGACTGAAATGATGAGACCTGTCAACAAACACTTTGAAGTTTGCCAACTCAACCCCAAAGAAAAGTGGCTCTGTCCTTCTAATAGGCCCCAAAAAAAGGCTTCGGATTTCCTTTGGGCTTGCTTTTGAAACCACCCAACACCACCCCCCAGGTGGAGGAAGACTCTTTGCACGAACGACTCACGTCGGTCTGAGGCTCTGCACTGCAGACACTGTAGTCGCCCGGGAAGTAAACCTTGGACAAGGCAAAACAAGGCGGGGGGCCCCGCCGCAAAAACGTCGCACGTCGATGGGCGAAAAGTGGCTGATGGTTCTAGGGGTACCTCCCTTTTCCATTCTGAACCCAGGGATCCGAATCTTTCCAGAAAACCTTCAGAAACCTGGGGAAACGGCTGGTTTTCGGAAAGAACGATGGTTGAAAAGAATGGGGAAGCAACCCCTAGAATGGTGGGATTCTGGTTGGTTGGTCCCGTTTCACCAGCCACTTAGATCATGGGTGACATTGATCATAAATAAAACCATGCCGGGGATATGCGACAAACCCCTCACGATCAAAGTGTATGGCTAGGAACCGTGTGCACCCAGAGAGGATTTTGGGGTGCTCCATTTCCATTTGAAATGGCGAAAATAATCTCAAGCGAAGTCATGAAACCAACAGAATTCTGATGGCCTGGGACCCATGAAAAAAATCACCCCCAGATCCCTGGGTTCCTTAAAAGCCAAACGAAGCTTCCCATGGCGCGGACAAGGACTCCGAAGTTTCCCTCGAGTCACTCGCAGAAGTGGTGCACCAAAAACCAACGCCATGGAGGTTGGTCAAACCAAACTTTGGTCGTGTGCCAAAAGAAAACATGCTGCCTTGGCAAAAAAAAGGTCGCCAAAACTGTTTTTTCTTTCTTTTTTTGCTTTCGGTTTTGCAGCTCGCCGTTTTGGGCGCACTTTGGCACGGGGTCGCCGTCGAAACGTCCAGCCCGGCAGATCGTGAGGGCAGGGGGCCCTGTAGAAGCCATCCTTGGAGGCCTTGCACGGCAGATCCTGCCCAATCGATCGAGCAATCCAACGGAACATGTGGCCATGGGTCAAAACCCCGTAGTGAACATCCCAATCCAACCACTAAAATAGACGGCAAAATGGGTGGTGCACCTATCCCAAAATGGTACCATTGGTTTTGAACCATGGCCATGCAGGTGTGTCCTCTTTTTTTGGGGGGGGAGAACCCCTTTGGGTTGGTTTCAAAGGGAATTCCAACAGGAACCCTCTGTGCTAGGGTCATCCCCACGAGCTTTTGAGGGGGGTACCACAGAAAGTAGCGCAAAGCCGAGCATGTTCCCCGCAGGGATTCCGATCCAGTCCCGAGATCGGCGTGTGTGGTTTTGGGTGTGGTTTTGTGTGGTTTTAACCCCCCCCTTAGCCCCCCCCCGGGACACGTCAAATACGCATGGTTTTTCGGTCGCCACCCCCCCCCCCCCGCGTACCGCGCGGCAATTTGATGACGTTCCACTGGACGTAGTCTTCGGGGAGCGGGTCTGGAGAAACGGGTCCCAGGCTCGAATCCTCCCGCCGCCTCTTTCTGCCGGCTGAGGTTTTGTGCTGCCTTTTGCGGAAAACTTTGAGACACACGGTGTTCGGTGTTTTTCCTTTGCTGACACCATTGAAAAACACATTGTGTTTTCCGATTTCCTTGACAATTGGCACCAATTTCCCCCCAATTTCCCCTAATTTCCCCCAATGCTTCCCCGCAAATTGCGCCTTACTTTCTCACCAATTCCCTCCCACTTTCCTTTCAATTTCCATCCGACTTCCCCCCAATTTCCCCCCCAGTTTCCCCCAAATGTCCTGGCAAATTCCCCAACCCCAGCTTCACTTGCCATGCTAAGCCACGCTTCTCGCAAGCAAGAGTGCCATACAGGCAACCTCAACACCCCTCAGAAATCAGCTTATCCGCGCACCCCGCCAAAATGACATGCAGTGGCCATGACATACCACCCAACACTAAGGTGCCCTAAACGGCGAGCCTTCCTGTTCGCAATTGTACGCCCTGTTTGGTCGCCACCCTTTCCCAACATTTTACTTGGAGGCATGGTTCGGCGCCCTTTTTGGGAGCACCCTCTTGGTGGCACTCAACACTCCGCCGACATTGCTCGGCGTGTCGGGGAGGATGGGGGAACCAGAGAGGACACAAGAGCATACTAGGGGGACACGGGCGAGAGGAAGAAGGAGACAAGCTAGATGCCAATGTCGGCGGACTGAGCCGGAGGCTCTAAAGTTTATGCAATGGGCCTGTATGGGTGAGCAAGTTGTACCCCCAATCAGTGAGCTCGTTCACATGCAGATTGAGTCGCATGCATTGGAAGCTCCACCAAATGTGACAAGCAGTTTCCCTCAAGAGCTTGACTGTCACTGTGAACCGCAAATCACTGGGCCGCCCCCGGTGGCTACTCCGCTGCAAGGCAACCTGGATCCTGTGGGGGACCCCCTTCCTTGGCAGTCTCACACAGGAGATTTCTTTACAAATAGGGGGGTGATAAGACCTTGGTTTCTCGATTCCGTGAGGCATAGTTTGGAGATGTACCACTTGTTTGGCCACACGACTGACTCAAAAAAGGACCTCCACATGTCTATCTGATTACTCCAATCAGGAGCTGCCACGCTTTCTAACACTGGCTACTTCCCACTGCACTTTGTGGTTGTCCCAGGAACCCCACGCGTTGGAGCGGAAACAACTTCGAGGACCAGTTCCATAGCCAGGGTCTTGTGCCTGTGCAAACATCTTCAAACACCCAACCAACAGCCCAACAGCCCAACAGCCCAGCAGCCCCCCGTCAGCCCAACAGTTAACAGCCCAGCACAAACCCTAAACCCCAGCAAGCCCAACAAGCAGACCCAGCAGTCAAACAACCTGTTTCTTCACATGGGTGTGTCTTTGCTTGCGGGTACCCCCTTTTGGTTGGTGTCAATCGGAACCAAAAGGAAAACACTCCTTTTTGGGGGGGGGGTTCCGGTATTTTGAGACACGCCCGCATCCTGCTTGCAGTTCCCTTCCACTCCTGGGCAGTCCGTTTTCAGATCCCAAAGCGAAAACAACTGTTAGTGGATCAAGTGGAAATCCAACCACTAAACCAAAGAAAAACTCTAAACTAAAATGGCTGGTTCCGAACAACAACTTTTAGTGGATGTGGAAATCCAACCACTAAACCAACAGTTAAATAAACACTAAAAACCAAGACGGCTGGTTCCGAACCAGCAAGAATTGGATTCAACTTCAAGCAACCCTCAGATCGGCTTCGGCTTGGTGACTCGTCCTCCCCGGCTGGGCTGGTGATCTTGAAGGTGGCGTCAAAATTCAGGCCCAGCTCCTCAGGAAGGGGTTCTTCTTTTCTTTCATACCAGGGCTGTGGGGAATGGAATCCACTTCTGTGATACAACAGAAAGGGCTTCCCAAAGACTATTTTCTTCATATGCAGCGTATCACAGAAGTGGGGAGAAACCCCTTGATCCCACAACCCTGCTTCATACCCTGGAGCAGTACCGGAGGTTCCTGCAGGCCCCAACTTTGATGGCCTGACCAGGTCTTATACTGTCCGAGTGGCATCGCGCTACTCCATACCATCGCCTAGAAAACAACATAATGAATAAAAACCCAGTGACTTGGGAAGTAGAGCTGAAGAGAAGGGTTGGGGGTGGAAACCTTGGGGTTGTCATGTGGTTTGTATAGAACCCCAAAGCGAGTGGAAAGTCGAGTTTCAGTTAATCCCCCAAGTGATCAAGTCGTGGGTTTTGGTTGGAATCGAACTTGTGAGCCAAGGGGGATCCCCCAAGTGATATCGTGGGAATGACCCGTGTTGGTACAATACCGCACAAGCATGGCAAAAGCCTTGAAAGTGAGGCTCGATTTATCATGGAGGCAGGCTCTATAGAGAAAACCAAGAAGGAACATATGGAGTAGATGCATTCCGGATGGAAGGCGGCACGCGTGACTTGAAGAGCATTGTGCGAGTGGCAAGCCTAAGCAGGGCGACTCAAGCCCCTGAGATGGTTCTAAAGATTTGGATAGGCCCGACTTGAATCCTTCTCTAAGCGGGTAGTAGAACCACCTACTAAACCGGCCCTTTCGGAGCTCAAATGGATTGGCTCATGGTTTATCCTCACGCCTTTCATGCCTTGGCCAACGGCGGAAGCAGAGGGGATCCAGGTTGTTCTTCTCATGGCTTCCATGTTCTGAGCAACTTCCTTTGCCCTTTGGTCCACCAACATGTCACCCAGCAGAGGGTCCCTTCTGGAGGAAAATGGTCTTCCAGAACCCCCCAGTCAGGGTCCATGTTGGAGGATGGGAGTGTAGCGCATTTCTGCTTGGAGCTGCGACCTTTTGACAGACACCCGACTATTTCTGCTTGGGTCCTTCCAAATTCCCGTAAAAACGGGGCCGAAGCGGGTGAATCCAAAATTCGGCCCGATAGGTGGCCACTGATTCAGAGCCATAGTCAGGAAAGAAGCCATCAGAAGTTTAGGCTTCATGGCCCTTGACGGTCCCTAGGCACTAATAGTGCCTAGGCTGCAATGGCTCCCCTGACTATGGCTCTGAATCAGTCTGTTACTCTGGCTTGCCTGCCACTGGAGCTCACTACAATTAAACTGGAAGGTTACGATATATGAGCATGGATGTCAATGTTTGGAAAACCCTCAAAAGTGGTTGGTGTACAGCAGGATGTCCATGTAAATGTGCTGCTGATGCTGATGCTGCGATGTCCACCAAAGGTCCCAAAAAAGAATTCATGCCCGGCCATGCCCGTAAAACGCTCAGCATTCTGCAATTTCTACCATGACTCCAAAACCTGAAAGAAAATACCGGGAGTAAAGGACCTACATCGTGATCTTAAAACAGGCAGCTCATCCCAGCAGTTTGCGCCACGCGAGTGTAATGCCATGGCACAACGCAGCCCGCAGGATCAAAGTCGAAGTCCATCATCTCCTGTCCACAAGCCGAGTCTCAATGTCCCACTCTCACCCGACTGGTGTGGTATGGTGTGAAATCAGTCCAAACCAATCAAGAAGACCCAAGACCGATGCTCTGGTTGGTACCCTTCCTTGTGGTTTCAATCGGAAACCAAAAGGAACACCAAAGCCATGCTGGGGGTGCCCAAAAAAAGACACACTCATTCGAAAGGTTCGGAGCAACGAATCTGAGTTGCCTTCTGTTTCCCCCCAGGTACCATCGCTTAGCATGGCCACCTCACTTCTGATCGAGTGGATTGGCCAAGAAACGTATATACTCTCCCACTTTTCTCGGCTGTTCCCGGATGCTTCAAAAGTTCAATCCAGACTTGTCGCTTGCCTCTATGGGCTGCTCCCCTTCGATCCCATGCCAAGAGTCGAAAACATGTGGGTTTTCGTCCTCATCTTCCAAAACTGATAATGACAACCCCCAAAACCGAAAAGGACATCCACATCTTCGACAAAATCATCATCATCACGTGAACATCTTCGTCGATTTGCCTAGCTCTTCCTGGGTCACAGAAAATGGTTTCTAACCAATCGTGTCCTTTCGGATGCACTAATTGCTATAACTCACCAACCTGCGCTATGGTTTTTTTTGAGTGTCCCCAAAGGTTCTATCAAAAGGGTTTATTCTATGATATTTGGATACTGCAACTACATTATTGCCCTTTCGCGCTTTTGCACCTCCTACCTGTTTAGCACCGTCGAGTTTGTGAGTTTTGAGGGAACCATCCTTGTGGTTGGTGTTGAGGGGAAGTTTTTGTACCTGGTTTCTGGATGTACCACCATGTTGGTTGCTTTTTGGAGGTGGATCTTCCGCGCCTGCTTGCCGTCCTTCCAGATCTGCAACGCCAGCTTCAGGCCCTCCTCGGTCGCGTGCTCGAGAGAGAGACCCCGGAAGTTGGATCCGCAACACTAGCCCCGTCAATATTGGTTGAGGTTGGGTAAGGGGAGCAAAAATTCTGGGAAAAAAATAGCAGGTAAGTGGATTTGGATTTCAACCACTAAACCACAAGAAGCAAAAATGTAAAATGTGTCCCAATGACAACCATGTAATGGGGTTGATGAATTGAGTCACTTGCTGAAAACCCGGCATTGTGGTCGCAATTCCCAGAACTATGCTTCAAGAACTAAGAAGGCGGATATCCGCAACTATTTCTGGCTGGGACTGCCCCTTAACCTTCATCTACCCGGGTTTGGATTGTGGCTCCATTGAATTGGGGAAGCCATATATTCAGCTAACATTGGGTCCATATCAGCGTCCGACTTTCTGGGCGGTTTGAAGTTTGTCGGCAACTTGCTTCTATCTGCGTATGGACGCACTTCCGATCAAGAGGATTGGCCAAAAATCCCAGGAATTGGTTGCCACTAAACTGATCCTCCCAGAAAGTTTAAAGTCCAGGAACTCAGGGAGTGTGTGTGTGTGTATATATATATATATGGCATATTGCATGTACGTGCGTTCACACGTATCTGAACGGTTTGGTTCCTTGAGGGCTCTGAGGGTGCAACCGAGGAGATGCCTCTTCAAACAGAGATCGAAAATCCAATGGGTGTCGGATTAGTGGGACACAAATACGTGGATGGACAAAATCCTGCCACTTGAGATAGGCAAACCATGAACAGGATTTGATCCATCCACGGTAGGGTCACCAATAGGGTCACCCGATAGGGTTGCCAATGGTCACCAGTGGCACAGGGCCAAATGGTTGTGCTATGCAACCATGTTGCCTTTAAAGGCTGATCCACATCGAGACAACAGTTGACCCCATATTTTCGACCAAACAGTTTATTGATGGGGGAGTGAAAGCCCCTTCAACCACATTTCATTCAGGGGGGTGTGCTTCCCCCCTATGAAGCAACCAGGGGTTGAAAACAACTGGGGTCAACATTTACAGTGATTTACAAAGGTATTCAGTGAACAAGCACTACCGCAGGAGCCGAACAGGCAGAAGGCTTCAGCAATGCGACACTTCGGGAAGCCGAAGTATGGCTTCGAGAAAGCCCAAAACACCCAAACCATTCCGAGAATCACTCCTGACCACAGAAACACCGAACAGGCGCCAAAAACACCCTACCCAGCTTCCAAAGCATGCAGCTGTCCTCCAAAAAGGAGCCTCTGATAGGTTCTATGTTAGTCCAGAGATTTGGGCACCATCCCGCTCCCTAACATGGCACGGCCTCTTAGGCACGAGATTCATCTTCCAGGCACCCTCACGGGGGAAAAAAAAGTTTGACTGCTAGGGCATTTGGAGGCTGAGCGCATGACCGGAACCGCTTGCAAAGGATAGATATGTGCATATATGTATATATACCGAATTCGCAGGTTTAGGGGAAAAAATGAGAAACAAAAAAAAACGATGGGGCAAATCTGGCTGAAAACTCCGATGATTCGTTTGGCTGGCACAAAAGTGTCGCCGCGGTGCTTTTCGTCCCAGCTCGCAAAAAGGGTGCTTTTCGGGACCGGTCCACCCCCAGAGGATGCGCAAGAACAGGGTTCCTTAAAAGGATACATCTACAAACCACCGGCTTCGCTAGGATTCGGCTCCTCTAATCGCCGTGCGAATGTTTACAACTGTGGGTGGACAACATCCTGCACCACTTCGAAACCATGGTTGAAACCATGCATTGTTGGTATTTACAGGGAAATCGAATCATTCCACGGTTTCTTAGGTGGTGCGAAATGGATTTCGCAACCATCCGCACTTGGTGGCTTTCTGCTCCCCTGCTAAAAGCTTAGCTTTTAGTGGTTTAATGGAAAACCCATTAGTTGGCCAAAAGGTATAGTTCTAAACCCTGTCCCCCTGTCCCTTTGGTTGTCCTGCATCCTTCAAGGGACCCTGCAGCCTTTACGGGGCGAGGCGCCGTGGATTCCAAGCCGTTCTGCACCAGGAAGGTGTCGTCCATCCAAATCCTCACACCGCCTGCCCCAAGAACCCGCCCGCCCCGTTTTGGCGGGGGCTCCGGTTGGTGTCCCTTCAAACGGGTAAAAAGGATGGGCTCAAAGAAGACATGCGCCTGTTGAGGGGAGGCCCAAAATTGGGGCTCTTTGAAAGGGATGCGTCGGGACAGGAAACGTTTCAGCTTCCATAGCCTTTGAGACCACCAAAGGACCCCAAAAATGGCTGAGGTGTCCATTTGGTGTGCTTAAAGCAACCTCACAAGGGAGGTGTCCCTAAAACACAAACCCTCATCTTGAGTTAAGATACCCACTGAGGGCAATGTCCCGAACCCATTGACCATCGACTGGACACTTTGACATACGGGGGGATGCGTGCCCCAAATGGGTGTCCGTCTGTTGGCTTCCAAATACAAAAACAAACAACCTACATTGACATGCCTTCGCCTTTTGGGTTGCGAACGAGTGATTCTCTAGACAGGGGTACTTTATAGGCGGTGTTTGAAATAACAATGGTTGAAAAGAATTGGGAAAGAAGCAGAATAAATAAGAAACAAACAGTTGACCGAAGCAGATTTTAAACCAATGGGATTCACAACCAATTGCACTGGGTATTCCACGGCGGGCGAAGCCGCATGCGGAGAGTTCCGACGCGGAGCTTTCCGGCGCGGAGCGTTCCGAAGCGGCTTGAAATTCCCGGCCTTGCAGCAGGCTATCGCGCACAAGGACCTGCGCCGTTCTCGCGGGCAGGTACATCTTCACCTCAGGCGGAGGCGCCGGCTGAGGCAAACCAAAATCGCAGGCAAGTAGGGCCCCTCGTCGAATGCGGTGCTTCAAAACCAAATTGAGCGATCATACGACAAGTGGGTACCCTCTCATTCGCTATGGAGAATAGAAGGGACTTTGAAGAGTAAAAATGGGTGCCCGGCGGAGATGGGAACTCAAAGGAGAGGGAAACACAGGTTTCTCAACAACGGGGGAACCCGGGACCTTAAACGGAACGAACCCCGCCGTGACTGCGACCTCTCCCTTAACTTGTGGGCAGCGCGTGCAACGCGCTCTTTTCCTTGAGCCAAATGGTAACATGCGGACATGTTATCCGGTCTTGCAACTTGATGTACCTCTGGGCCATAAATGTCATCGTGATAATTGACTCCCCCCTCATTGACGGCACTGAGGGAGTGTCTTGGGCGCATTACCACGCCAACTTGAAGTCAAGCTTACATCACAACGACTGACGCAAGTTATTCAAGTATCGCCCAGTCACTTGCACACTTCTGGAAATTTTGCGGACATGCTGCAGCGCACTAGGCAGCTGCTTTAGCGGATCTACTTTCACACACATCTTCAAGCTTCTCTGGAAGGTCAACACGAATGCCGAGCAACCTGATGGCATGGTCCCACTTGTTGGGAGGAAGTGCTTTAGTGAAAATGTCTGCTGACTGCATGTCTGTTTGGACATATTCTATTGAGATGTGTTCGCTTTCAAGCTGCTCTGCGATGCAAGCGAGGTTCACCTTGTGCGTGCGTTGTACACAGCGTAGCTTGGATGAGAAACCCTTCTTTGCTACGAGGATGGTCGCCTGATTATCCTCATGGATCTTGAGATGGAATGGCCTATCCAAAATCAGCTCCCATAAGCTGAGTGCAGGTAGTGCCTCCTGGTACAGGGAGTACGCAAGAGACACTATTTCCGCCTCGGTTGTCGATCGGGAGACCGAGGTCTGCCTTTTCGACACCCACGCGAGGGGAAAGTGCGCATGTGGACCACTCAACACCAAGAAACCTCCGGACGTTGATTTTGCGTCTCGTTCTCCAGCGAAATCTGCGTCCACATAGAGAGAAAGATGCAACTCATCAGTCGAATCCTGAACTGTGCCGACTAGGGTGCTGTTCACCGTGCTGTTAATGTAGCAGACAAGCCTATGTAACTGCTTATCGCAGTTCCTAGACCATTTCTGAATAAAGGAAGCAAGGTCACCGATCGGCTTGACCAGGTCCGGGCGTGCCAAACGCCCCAACCACAAAGCCTTCATCAGCACGCGGCAAGCGGCGAAGCCGAGCTCACCCTCCAAGGCGTCATCTGCGGGGTCTAGAGATCCAGCGGGACAGAATGGAGTGGTGGCATCACGCAACTTTTCAGTTTTTAGCTGTGCTTGTACGTAAGCCTTTATAGCGTCCGCTGTTGTGGTGGAGTTCCCTGGCAGGGATCCGTAAGCAAGACAGTTATTAAGACCTTGTACGCTCGTGGGATTTGCTCCCAGTTCTTGGTATACAGCCGCTGCACCATGTTCGTCTTTCGCACAGTCTCCGCAACACACTATCCTACCTTTCATCTTTTGAAGGTGCTTCGCGAGTTCGGCGAACTTGACGGATGCTAGCGACATCAACTGTCCGAAGTGAACTTTTACACTGGATCGTCGCGCCTCAGCAGAGACTTGATCGTACTCTCGGACTGAAATTAGATCCCAAACACCGGCTTTCTCTAGGCCTGTGGCTTCAAGTCGAAGGGCTTCAAGGGCTTCCGGGGAAGCCAACATTTCGGCACGTGACAAGAGTCTGGTCACCATTGCGGTGATTTCAGGATCCTTCTCCTCCTTGACTTGTCCTAGGGAATGTGCGATGAGATTTTCAACATCAAGAACTTGTTCGAGGATGTCGTGACACTTTTCATCGGACTCGACAGCAATACCTATATCTTCCAAACCAGAGAGAGGGGATATGTGTTTTAGCTGCTGTTCACGTTCCCGGCGGTCGAGAGGCAATGGCACTTGAACAGGCATCACAGGCACAGCGGGTCCTACTGTCGGATACAGCGCACGGGCAACTGTGAGACACATGCCTTCGGGGTAGAAAGCGGTCTTTGCGGTTTTGTTACCTGCTGCAAGCGAGTGATTAAACCCTTTTTTGTGCGGACACTTGAATGCACTTAGTGCGGATGCGAGGGTGCTATTGCTAGTCATGACTTTCCATGGCTTTTTGATGGGCAACCGTTGCTGTCTTTTAGACCTAGGGCGCAACCGTGGAAGGTCGCTGGGGTGAAGACCTGCGCGTATTCCCTAAAGAATGCAGCAACATCACCCCTAGCCCAGCTGTCGCAATCCCTTGACATTCAAACGAAACACTACCCCCCTGATGGAGGACAGTCTCAGCGTGACGTCTGAATCTGGAGAACAACTCTCTCGACTCTCTAACTTGTTGTTTCAGTTTCTTTTTGAATTGGCTTCCTAACTTGGCCTTGTTAAGGCGCTGCCATGCTGATCCGGATGTGCAGGGGATTGCGGCCCAGAGATTGGGTTTCTCACAACCTACTATCTGTGACTGCAATTGGATTTCTCCTTCATCTGTGCTAAGGTCGATGAACTCTTTAGCCAGCCTAACATGTGGTATGCCAAGACCTTCAAACACGCGACCCATATTGGACTCTGGTGAACATGCGTATTCAAACATCACAGGCAACTTATCCATGCGTGCCTGACGTTTGCGGGCACGATGATTTCCTACCACAAATTGCTTGGGCGGCGGAGTTTCAACCTCTGCGCTGCACGGCATGCCAAAAATTGGCAGCAATGTATCTGGACGACCGTTCTTTGACACTTCGGTGAGAGCTGTCGGCGGTACGGACTCTAACATGAAGCTGCACCTGTCGTGATAACGCAATCGGACTGAATGGGTTTTAACTTGAACACTGTGAACCCGGTCCATGAATCCCCAAGTGAGCGATTAGGTCGGCTACCAAACCAACCATCGTGGATGTTGTCTGCTTTGCCCCCCTGAAACACGGCACGAGTGGTGCAAGCTGCAGTGAACCTTTCTGGGGAAACGGGGCAATCCTCGACCTCCTTTGGGGTAAAAAGATTCTGCCTTGGCATGATATGGTACCGAACCAAACAGTTGGCATTTTCTTTGAACACCTAAAAATCTTCACCTTGCGATGTAGCGGCTGTCGCTGGCGCGGAATCGAAAAATGAGGCACCGGGTCTTGAGGGAGCTGGCTCCCCGGCTTCGGCTGCGTCAAATTCATGAGCTACGTCTTCTGCACTAACTGCGATCTTAGGATCTTTATCATGCTCGGATGCGTGGATTGCTCTGGCTAGCTCCTCATCCCCTTCGGTATGAACAATGGGAATGGGTTCCTTAGACTCAATTTTGGCAGCGCTTTTTGCAGCTGCTTCAGCCCTATCTGCAGAAACAAGTTCGGAGAACCTCTTCTTGCATTCAGCACTGTGAATCTTGGAATGACCGGTGCATGCACGACAACCTGGCGTTTCCTTGAACTTGATGATCCTCTCAACAGTTATGTACACGGATTTTGACTTGACAGCGGATGGAGTCGGTGGGGCCCCAAAGGGTGCCTCTCGCAGGGGCAAAGGTGGGGGATCTGACCCTTCTGTCTTGCCTCCATGCAATGCTCTATCTGCTGCTGCTGCGATCGGAAAGCTTGGCGGTCCGTCCTCAACGAACAATTCCGGCTCAGGAACATCGTGAACAGAAATGGAACCATCTTTACGGAAGGCTTCATAGTCCATGACTTTTACCACGTTACGGTACCGCAACCCCGGATCGACCCTCCAGGAGTCTTGGTTCTGTACCAAACCAATTGCCCGAAACAGCATCTCTTCCCTTGGAACTTTTCCTTTGTGAGAGCCTCCCATTGGGTTTTACCGGGGCTGAATGGAGCAGGCCTGTCGAACGACATGGTGAGGCATGCAAATGGGTAGCTAAAGGTATAGGGCAACCCTGATTGCAAGTGGATGCTGCGACAGCATTCCTTCTCTTCACGGATGTCGAGCTCCAGGATGGTATTGTGAGGCCACCTGTTAGGCAAGCTTGTCTCTGGGACGAGACCTGAAGGCCCATGAACTGACGGAAATTTTTAACATGCGCTTGTGTGTCTCGCCTACTCACGGGGTATGCAAGACGGACGCCTGGGAAAACATCACGTACTACATGGTGGGATTTGATTCCTCCGAAACCTACTCCGAGATGTTCATCGCCCATGACAAGAATCACAGAATCGGTAGCCAACTGTTGAAATGGTGCGGTTGGGACGTCGACTTTGTCGTCTGGTCTGGCATCCTTTTTGCGCGCTACCCTTGCAGAAGTGGTCTTTGAGATAGAACACACTTTGCAAAATGGGTTCTTAGGGAAATGGGACCTCATGGGAAGTTCATCCTCGGAAGGAGGGGCTCCCTTGGCCGCTAGCATGTTTACAGGAACCTGATCTAGCTCACCTTCATCTGACGCTTGACACGAGTCATCGCACAAAGAAACGACATCGTCTTCGGCCGCGCTCATAGCAGCAGCTTCAATCGGCCAGAGGTGAGTTGACGACTCTGCCAACTTGGGCTTTACCACCTCATCATACTGGGGAACGTATTCCACCACTCTAGATGCATTAATGCGTGCATTGCGGGGCACGTTAATCTTACATCTACTGAGTTCCTTTGGGGGAACAAGGTATGGAACATTCTCGCGTGGATCCCAAATGAATAGGTGTCCTTGATCCATTACGGTCTTCCCGATGGATTGCGCTGGTGGGCAATCACGGAGGACGTACACCTGCTCTTCAGCAGGTATCGCTCGGCTGTCCTCGAATGCTAATGAAGTAGTGCCTTGTTGGGCACCACCCCCAGTCGCAAAACCTACGGGTGTGCTGCTCTCGCGCACGCACTTGATCATGTTGCTTTTCAAAGCTTGACGTCCGATCAAGTGTCTCCCTGCGGCAGTATCCCAAAGCCAGCTGATGTGATTGTCGTCGG